TACAACAGATTTATGTATATTGATTTTGTATCCTGCCACCTTGCTGAACTCATTTATTAGTTCTAAGAGTTTTTTAGTGGATTACATAGAATTTTCTATATTGTGTGTATGTACACACACACACACACACACACACACACACACACAAATTGATTAGAGATAGTTTTACTTCTTCCTTTCCAATTGGTTACCTTTTATTTCATTTTCTTACCTTATTTCCCTGGCAATGCTGAACAGAAGTGGCAAGAGCAGACATCCTTATTTTTCATAGAGGCCCTTTAACAAGTTGAGGCAGTTTCCTTCTATTCCTAGTCTGTTCTATTCCTGCCCTACATTTGAGAGTGTAAACTGGAGCATCCCTTCTAGAAAACAACTTGGTAATATGTGTTAAGAAATTGCAAAGTTCAAATCCTTTGACCTAATAATCCCATTTCTATAATCAATTTAAGGGAATAATCAGATGTGAATAAAAGTTTTATGCAAAAGGACATTAGAATGGAAGGAAATCTGGTTCCAGTGTCTATGGACTCACTGACTGCTAGGATTATATATGCTCATTATACAGGACCTTTATCACTCACTACTTCACTCACTGCTTCATTTCTCACCAAACCTATAATTCAGAATTGGTTAGGACTTTTTCTAGCATATAAAGTCCCTTGTTTGGTTAAAGGTATACGAATAGCTACAAATCACTGCTAGAATTTCCCAGTAGAACACTGCAATATAGAAAACAGCAGTTGAAAGGCCTGAAAGAACCTAAATATGCAACAATGGAGGAATGAAATATGGTCCATCCAAGTGACATATTATTCCAATAAAAAAGCATGTTATTAATGAAAGAAGCAGACCTCAGCTTGGGAATAAATAATCATAAATATGAGAGAAGACACATCAGGAAAAATATAGAAAATTTTAATAGTGATAATATCTGGGTCATTTTATTTTCCAAATTTGTAACAATAAACATCATTTTTATAATCAAGAAAAGAAAGTCTAACATTTTTCTTTCTCCTTCCCTGCCCCACTCAAAAAAAGTTACTAATTCTAAATAGTAGCACTACTGCACAAAAAGAAGGTATAGGATCTTAAAACTATGCATCCCTGGCCTAGAGCCTTAACTGGAAACTTCACATAAAATATCAGATACAAATAAATTGTACAACTGAGACTAAGTTTTATCTTTTACATGACAAAATGAATAACATAATATAGGCAGCCCCCAGTATATAAAAAATTTAAACTTACAAGTGACTTTCCATCCTGCCTCAACATGCTGCTGGAGGCCCCACCATCACAGGAAAATTTTATCTTTAATAAAATAACCTGCAAGTTCATTTCTTTTTTAAGGTAGGAAAAAAAAAAAAGAAGACACAGTACACAGTTGGTAGGTACAGACTCCTTAACAAAGTTCTCTTGCTTATTTGGTAGATCCCACAGCCTGCATTAAATTTTTTCTCTTTTTTTGAAACTCAACACCTACAACTGAAATCCTGGCAATTACGGATTAACAGAGTTAACAATAAGGGAAAACTTCTGGGCAGAAAAAAGCCTGTCATTCATATATTAGTCTGGTTTAGTTCTAGCAAGTACTGATCCACCTGGTTCCCAGAAACTCGGTTGAGTCGGGGACCAGATTTTTTTTTTTTACCTTGTGTATCTCAAGCACTATTCATTAGAACTTGCTGATTTGACGAAAACGTTCCAGCTGCACTATCCAAAATGCAGTCAGTAGTAATGTATAACTACAGAGCGCCTGAAATGTGGCTAATGCAACTGAGGAGCTGAACTTTTAATTTTATTTCATTTTAATTAATTTAAATTTAAATAAACATATTGCCTAGTGGCTACTGCATTGGCCAGCCCAAGTCTAGAACTGGCACAATAAACGAACAAATCGATCAACAATGCTCTCATCACAAAACCCACAAAATATTAGCAGTTCTATATTATGGGAATGAATTCAGATTTTTAAGAAGATGAGACAGGGAAGATAATTTTGAAGCAAGACTTTTTTTTTAGGGGATATGCCAATTTTTCACTGCCTCATAAAACACGTTATGACAATTATGAATTAGAATGGCCTCCTCTCTACTTATCCAAATAGCACCCATCTTTAACTTTCTATCTACTCCACAGAACATTCTCACCCTGTATTTCATTCATTCATTTATTCAAAATTTAATGATAACCTACTGTGTGCTGCACACTATGAACACAAAGTAGAATAAAACTCAGTCTCTGTCCTCAGGCAGGCACTTCAATAGGAATAAGAGATAAAAACATAATGACTAAGTTGAAATAGAAAATATCATTATAGAACTGTGTATAACATGGAATGCAAGCATAGGGGAGCACCATGTGAGCATCAAGAGACTATAGAGGAAGTGACATTTAAGACTGCTTCCCTCAACTATATAATGACACTCTACCATAAGCATTACTATAGAAAACTGTTTTATTGATTTTTAGAAAAATTCCAAATTAAAAGATTACTCAAATTCCCTCATTAAACAAACACTAGTATTGAGAGCATTACAGCTAACTTAATTTGTACAAAGTAATTTTAATACTGGTTTTCATTACCCAGGATATTATGTTAATTTTAAGTACCAAAATACTATTTTGTTTAGTGATACCATTATTTCAGTGTTTGTTTTTCATCTGAATACTAAATATTTACATTTTGATATGGAGATCAATGACTAACGTTTTACTTTATACTGCATATAACTGCAAAAGAAAAAGTGTCCTCTACCCAGAGAATTATAAACTGCATTAAAATTTTTCATTGAATATTATTACATTAATTCAGAAATCATTTTTCTGTAAATTCATAATCCTCAGTGGAAAGAAGAAAATAACAAAGCAAAGCTTCTGTTGCAAAATAATTAACAGTCTAGTTCAAAGACCTTATGAACAGGGAAGTATGAACACAAGACTACTGAAATTAATACAAGTAACTGCATCCCACGCAGAAACTGAAGACCTAGAGGTATAGGAAATGTTTTCTTATACCTCACACTAACAATAAAAAGACTGAGAAACAGAAAAAATAGTTCAAAGATTCCCTCAAAGAGAGTAAAATGAAATGGAACTGCTTGAAGATGAAAACATTAGGAAAAAAATTTAGAATTAGGTTGTCTGTCTCGCCTGCATTCCCTTGATTAATTCAGAGGAAGCTCCTTCAGCAGGTTTCTGCACAAAAATATACCCATGGTGAAACCACTTAACCATGTTTTCTTAAGGCCACTGTGGTGGAAAGTGGGAAGATTGGTCAGGTAAGACCTCACTAATGAATAAAGCAACATTCAGGCAGAGAGCTAGAGAACGAGAAATTTGCCTTTTAAATCGCGCGTGCGCGTGTGCGTGCGTGCGTGCGTGTGTGTGTGTGTTGGGGCTGGAGAGGTGTATGCCCAGTGTAAAGAAAGGCTTCAGGGCAGAGAAGTGCACTGGCATATCTGATGACTCAAACGAGCGATGTGGATGGAGTTTGGTGAGCAATGAGAAAAAATGATTGGGGTTGAGGTTGGAGAAATAAACAGGGATGTGATCACACAGATCAGGAAAACAGAGGTCCAGGGTATGTGGAGGAAAAGCAACTATATTAATTTGGCTATAGAACAAGATTAATGAAAAACAGTATTTGCACACCACCCTCATGCATAAAATCTTAATTTAATTCTCACTACACAGTAAGAGAAATAATGTTTCCCTTTAATGGGTAAAGAAATAACAGGCTCAGAAGGGCTAAAGGCCTTGCTGAAAAGCTAAGTCTCTAACCCCAGACATTCTAACCCAAGTCAAACAGGTAACCTTTCTACTACACAATAAGAAGTAGTGAAAAATAACATGAAAAAGACAAGCCCAGTTCAAAGTCAGACTAAGAAATATGGGCTTTATTATGGGGAAAAAACTAATGGAAGTTATATCAATTAAAAAGATGATTCTGATGATCTCCATAGGGCATACAGAATACTTTCAAACAGAGGTTCCTTCATAAAAAATGGTTACCATACATAACAACAATCATTTTTCTACTGTGTTCCCCAGAAGAATAAGATGGTGGATGTGTATAGCTGGGGATGGGAGGAGGCTAAGTACCATGTTCAATCAGAACATACCTACTTTTTAATCTGTCTTATGTTAGATTTAGGTTCAAAAAGAATTCTGCTCTTTGAAAACCACTGACTATAAGGGAGTCAACCTTAGTTCCAAAATGTTACTCTAAAGATCTAAAACCTGCTGGAGGTAGAGCATTTCTTTCACCCATCAAATACCCTATGTTAACTACTTTAAAAAGCACACTAATTTCTTTTCAGCTTTTTTTTTGCTAAAAGCCAAAAATATACCACTATAGATTATCAAAAGCAATTTCAGGTTAACATTTTTGCCGCCATACTTTTAGAAATAATACATATGCCTACCACAAAGTTTGCTTGTATGGTGAGGCATTATAACATTAAAAATGTAAGGTAAATATATTCTAATACTACTATAAACTGCTTCTCAATCACTAAAAAATAAAGACTAAAAATTATATATTGAGGCCCCCCCCCAAAAAATATTGCTAGTGAATATTTCATCTGTAATACCAATAAGTATGATGTTACCTAGGAGGATGGAAGGGGGAGGAAGGGATGGATTGGGAATTTGGGATTAGCAGATGCAAACTATTACAAATATAATGGATAAACAACAAGGTCCTACTTTATAGCACAGGGAACTATATTCAATATCCTGTGATAAACCATAATAGAAAAGAATATGAAAAAGAATATATATACATAAAACTGAATCACTTCGCTGTACAGCAGAAATTAATACAACATTGTAAATCAACTATAGTTTAATAAAATAAATTTTAAAAAGTTTAAGAGTTTGATATTAAGGCAATATTTTTAATGTACCTAATAAATCCTCAAATGGTCAATATCAAAATCTATAAGTTAGCAAAATCATGAATACACAGAATTGGTTATGTAAATATGCACACATACCTTTATCCTTCTTAAAATCCAAAGCATCTTCTTTATCAGTCACTATTTCCTTCATATTGATAATACTCTGGTGGGTAAGCTGCCGGAGAATTTTAATTTCTCGAATTGCTGTAATGGGAAAGCCTTCCTTTTCATTATCCAGGCGTACTTTTTTTAAGGCTACCATTTCTCCTATTAGAAAAGTAAATAAAATCAGGTTACCAGCTGACAAAACTAAGTAACATTTTAAATTTTTATTTTATTTTTTAATATTATTTTTATTTTTATTTTTTCTTTTCAGCTGCACCAGGTAGTCTGTGGGAATCTTAGTTCCCCAACCACGGATCAAATCCATGCCCCCTGCAGTAGAAGCATGGAGTATTAACCACTGGACCAGCAGGGAATTCCCTAAATTTTTATTTTAATTCATAATTTCAGTTCCTACCTCTTGAAATTACAAACCACAAAATATATTTTAGTTTCCAATATACCAAATTATAATATTTATGGTTCAAAAAGTCTCTGGTTAAATAAATTAAGGGATATTTATCAAACTACGGAATATTATACAACTGTTAAAAAGGATAAAGTAGGTCTATATGTACTGTTATTTTATACTAAGATATATTAAATGAAAAAAGCTAGATAACGAAGAGTAGATATATTACACTGCCATTTTTTAAAAAGTGAAGAGGGGAGGCTAAATATACCTAATATGCTTATACATGCATAAAATCTCTCTGAACAGATGAGAAAACTCTGGACATTGTGCAGATAAGAAAATATGCTCAGATATATTAACCTGTCCAAAGATGCCCAGTTACCCAGTAGTAAAACTGGGATTCAAAATCTGGTTTAGCTCTCTCAAAACTATGTGCTCTTCCCACAACACTAAATGGCCTCATAATTTCCATATGAGTGAGTTTTGTATCAGATAATCTAAATATTGAAACACACACAAATCCTATTATAAGAAAAATTCACTGTAACGGAAGTTTGTTCATTCCACTTCTTTGTAGGGGAAAAAGAAGGAATTCTGTACTTACAAATTTTCCAAAGGAAGGACGTTTTTCCTTTTAATCATTAAAAATTACTTGATTTTTTAAATAGAAATCTAAAATGTATGATTCCTTGTTTTATAATTTAATCTCTTTTGATAACGCAGAATCATCATGATAAATATTACTTTATTGCTGCATGCTATAACTGCCTTCAGAGTTTCTATGCATAAGGTAGCCTCGCTTATACTAAGTGCCCTCAAACACCTATTCTATTTTATCTATTGGTTTACTTCAACAAGAAATTATAAATAAAGATTAAACACTGACTCTAAGCACTAATTATTAGTAAAATACATGGCGTCTAACACAGTTACTTTTTCCTCTGCCCCAAGGCCTTTTAAAACTTTCTCTCAGGGGACTTCCCTGGCGGCCCAGTGGTTAAGAATCTGCCTTCTGGGGCTTCCCTGGTGGCACGGTGGTTAAGAATCCCCCTGCCAATGCAGGGGACATGGGTTCGAGCCCTGCTCCGGGAAGATGCCACATGCCACGGAGCAACTAAGTCCATGCACCACAGCCACTGAGCCTGCGCTCTAGGACCCGCGAGCCACGACTCCTGAAGCCCACGCACCTACAGCCCATGCTCCGCAACAAGAGAAGCCACCGCAATGAGAAGCCCGCGCAGCACAACGAAGAGTAGCCCCTCTCGTCGCAACTAGAGAAAGCCCACGCGCAGCAACCAAGACCCGATGCAGCCAAAAATAAATAAATAAAATAAATAAATTTATTAAATACAAAAAAAAGAAGGAGAATCCGCCTTCCAAATGGGGAACTAAGATCCCACATGCCATGGGGCAACTGAGCCCGCATGCCCCAACTACTGAGCCTGTGTGCTCTGGAGCCTGCACACCACAACTAGAGAGCCCGTGTGCCACAACTACTGAGCTCACACGCTCTGGAGTCTGTGCGCCACAACCAGAGACAAGCCTGCGTGCCACAACAAAGAGCCCATGCGCCACAATGAAAGATCCCATATGCTGCAACAAAGATCCCAATGCAGCCAAAAAAAAAAAAAACAAAAGAAAAAACCATGTATGTATATACACCCCATTACATGTACTCATATCTTACATAAGTGCATACATAAAATGAAACAAAAAACAAGATGAAACAATACCATGATAAATTCGAATTTAACTTTTTTTTTCTGAAAATTCCTCAAGTTATACATTAGAAGAGAAACATGAATTGAGCACATTCCATAGGCCCAAAGATCCAAAGCATTTGGCATTCTTACCAGTGTCTTTATCCCTGGCCTTGTAAACTTGTCCATAGGTACCTTCTCCAATAATTCCGATGATATCAAATTTATCCACGCAGCGTTTTCCCCAGTCAATGTCTTTTTCTTTGATTTCACCATAGCGAGGCCCACATATTCTATCAAATATAGTTCTGAAGTTTTTATATACAATCAAGCAAAGTGAATAAACTGTTTAATACTCAATATCCACCCTCCATACCCAATCTTAAATCAATTATTTCCCCTCACCCTTGCATATTTGTGATCATCCAAGACAGGCAACACTGTGAGGTGGTATTATAAATTATCATGAAAGTCAAGGTATTTCTCCATACTGACTCTCCTTCTGTAGACTAACACTTAAAGTGGGAAAGAGAAGTAATAAAGTTTGTATGAAGGACTTTCAGAAATACAATATAATTTTTCAGCGAGGGGACAAAACCAACACCGGTTCAAAGATTCAAAGTTCTCTAAACAACCTCCAGAGTATTTTTTCATTCATTGACAATGTGTATATATTTATCTGCTTTCAAAAACCAGAAGTTTAACAATGAACATTACCAAAAATCTAACTATAAAGCGTATTGACAAATTTAGGCTTATGGCTAGATAAAATTATCTTAATGGAAGCACCAGAAAGATTTTTCAGTCTAAGACAGTATAAAAATATTAATATTATCAACCCTTAGGAATCTACACTTTAAGTATGTATTATATATAACAAATATTTGATATTGTTCAAAAAGATACGTAATTTTATAGTACCTTAATATTCTGGCAGGTAAGAGAATTTAAGTAAAGGAATAAAGCTACAATACTCAAGGAGAGACTACTTTTAAAGTTTCCTAGCTTTCTACTCCACACTAGAAAATCACCTCATATTCTTATACTAGACACTACCTGAAACAGCAATTCTAAAATCAGATCTAACTCAAAGTCTTACTTACACTTTCCCTTGGTTAAGCAGAAATAAAAAAAGGAATCATCATTCTCCCTCTGCCCTTAACTGATGAACAGGTTTCAAGGGAAA